CCTGGCAGAAGCTGTACAGCAATGGTGGCCTTTATTGCTATTCTCTCGTCTTTGAAATGCCTCCTATAGTATAACACAATATAACCTCAAAACCAGAAATACAAATAGCAACAAACTAATTAGATGTAGTTTGTTGTTTTTATAGCTGCAGTATGACTAGAGTTACTATACTAGCATAGACCTGTACACTTGGTGGAAGTTGTCAAGCAGCCTGATATTCTGACTCTACCGTACTCTACTGTGTACTCAGTGGTGCCAAAAGTCACGGTTAACTGATTAGAACGTCTTGTCGGCCTAATTTAGAGCTAATCACCTGTGATTGGAAATGGTCATTTGATGACAACAATTATCTAAATGTGCTCACCTAGTCCCTTTCCTGTTACATACCAGCTAGGTTTTTACACAGACACACAACCTGATACTGCACACGGGGATAGTACCATCCAGTATAAACACCAATTTTAGACTGCCAGTACAATTCGTCATCATTGTGTCCTCATTCTGCACCTCTTTCCTTTGCTCTCTCACTTTAAACACCCTTCTGTTCTAAATTAAGAGTCAACAATGTAGGCATTTCAAGTGGCAATCACTTGAGACCACAAATCATTTCTCTTCACTCTTCCACCTGTATAACCAACCTCATGTTACAAATAATGTCTTTCATTATAAGGTTTTCTAGTATCTCGCTGTGACCATGTTGATGATTTTCACATTTCAAGGTTCATGGTATGAGGACATAAAAGATGTATTGTTGTCTTGATGCAAATGTATGCATGTTCCAAAATTACCAGGAAGACCAAAGACCTTGCAGAATGGCTTGGTAGATTCAACATGAGAACACTCATGGCAGTATGTGTGTGTATTTGTGCAAATGCAAGCACTGTATGGGTTAAATGGAAGGATAAAGCAAGGCTATATGTTAACACCCCAGCAGTTTCAGTTCCAATTAGGGGAGGTTGGAGGAGCCAGGGGGACATAATTTCAAAGGAGGAAAACAAAAGCAGCTATACAGAGGTTCACAGGTCTTTATGAGGTCAGTTAGGATGATAGATGGAAAGGTGCTGACAGCAATCTATTCTTCCTTAGTAGGGCGTATAACTATATGAGATAGGACAGATTGAATTATAATGTAATAACTCATAATAATAAAGTGTTAACTCGACTCATCACGTTACAGTTATAATCACGTGGTACATAGTCATGATATTATATGTAAAATAATGCATTACATTTATGGGTGCATTGTATTTGGACATTTTATTACAGTATATAATACTGCAGTATGAGGCTGTTACTTTATCAGTTGTAACAAAAGACAGCCCCATAGCCCGAGTCCAATTATTGCCGTCTAGATCCCAAGCAGCTATCAGGCAGTAGAGCTGCATCATGCCATTCATCCACAAACCTTTACGCTAGCAGTTGAGTCCGTAAGTGAAGGTGAAGGCAGAGAGGACTGATTATCCAGGCACAATGACTGGTAGTTAACAGTGACAGTCAACCAGCATGACATTGAAGCATGGGAGGAAGGCGCATGATAGAGATGATGTGAGATAACTTGGTGAAACGATGCTTGCTTGTGATCATACGGCACGTGTGACTGCTTGTGTATTGTATCTTGCACAGGATCAGGGAAAACGGATGAATGCAAATTGTTCAAATGTCTAAAAGTGTGGATTTAATTTTCCCCATGAAATGTAGGCGTGTTTATAATTAAACTGATTAAACTGATAGGAGATACAACTTGTTAATGTCATTATAGTGCCCCAGTTGTAGTATCAAAAAAAGACACTGCTAGACAGCAATGTCTGCTACTTGTAGAGACAATTTAAGTACAGCAGTAGGCCTTCTGTATTCTGTAACAGAAGAACTTTATTTTAGAATTTATGTCCAAAAATCTAGAGCAAACAAATGTCACCATGTCCTAGGCCAGCTTTTATTGGAATGATGCAAACCCACTGGAATTAGGAGTGCTGAAAATATTGCAGCACCCTCATACACAGGTGGATGAGGTATGCTACATTTGTATTTTTATGTTTTGTAGTGGTGAACCTCCCTGTCACCTGCAATACCTTAAAATCAGTTTTCTTATATTATTATAAGTGGCAAACAGCAGAAAAAAAATTTACTTCTCTATCTATTCCCAACAAAGATTTGGTTGATTATGCAACACTGATTTAATTATCTTTTTAAACCTCCAACCTCCTAAACAAATCTCTCGTAAGTCCACATGACAATCAATGCAGTGAATGTATGGTATGAACTTACAGGGCACAGGGTGATGATTACTTTGCAGCACCGGTATGTACATTAGCTTTCTGTGTTGACCATTTTTACACTGGGTAAACTGAACATCTCACAATTGTCAATTCAACAAAAAATGGGGTTGTCCAACAGCATGCAATCCCATATCCCACCAGCCATTTACAGTTAAATACCACCAGTCCACATGTATGCATCTTAAGTAGCTTTTTTGTGTTTTCCATGTTCAAACAAGACTTAACCAAACAGATGTTTTCCCATCACTTGTCAGTAGGTAAATTGAGCACTTTTACATTGCAAAGCATGTTCTAAAGTCTCAGTGCAGTTGCTGCTTACTTTTCTATGTAATTTAACCTTTAACATTTCACAAGCAGTGGTTTTTTACCCTATTGTTGGAGTTACAATAAATGTCCCTGGATGAAAGAGTTTGTTTCAGGTGTGCTGTCCTCACACAGCACTGCTTTGTGTGAGTGTGTGTATAATTGTGCTATCACACATGGTAGAGGACATTGATGGAAATAAAAAAGCTCTTTTGAAGAACACCTTTAATTTTGATCCTGGATGGATGTGGTTGCCCTGAAGAAATAATCTTGCTGCTTAAAAGGATAGATGAAAAGAGAAATAAATGGAGAGAGACAAGGAGACTGGGGGAGACACAAGTACTAATAAAGTGAGAATGTTGAATGTACTGGGGTCTGGATGAATAAATGACTCCAAAATTGAATTACAACCATTACTGATCTCACAATGCATAAACGTGCAGTGACTGATGCAAGCGCACACGTGTCTGCACGCATTAAAAATCCACAATCACATACGTGATTCCATCTCCATCTTTGGCATCTTCATGTGTACGGACTGAGTTGAGTGTTTGGAGCTCTAATACATTATGCATCAGCCCTCAACATGCCCTTGACCAGGGTGACATAAATTTCACATACATTACCAGATGTAATCCATTCTAATGAGCTTAGACTTTATCTAGTTGGGCACGAAATACACAAGGGAGTTACGGCACTCAAGAGAAGATAAATATCATCATGATGCACGCTTAACTTTTGTTGGTAGAGTTTTAATGTCAGCACAAAAATCCGCAAAATTGTGTGAGCCGGTTGTGTACATACTGCAGTGGAGGCTGGTGATTATTTACCTGGATGGGAAACAGGCACTGAGGGCTTCTGCTTACACACTAACAATGTTGTTTACTAGCTTGGTACACTAAGCTACAACTCCAACTACTGAAGACTATATGTTCAACAACTGAATAAGAAAAGTAAACACAGTCCATCCAAAAGCTTAGTTTGTCTATTCAATCAGAGTGTATTTTTTCTCACCAAGCCGACAAATCATCTATAAAATAAAACAACCGCAAATTAAGATTATTGGCAAATGTACATTCGTTTGTGTTTTTCTTGCCTCAGCTTAAAGGCCATTTGCTTCTATGATAGAGCAATGACAATATGCAATGGTGGACACAAGAAGTTTGGCCTACTAATACTGTGGTATTGATGTCCTCTTTTTGGTCACTTTGCTGCCATTTTCCTGGACCAGTGGAACTCGCAATGGGTAATGTTAGACCAAATTAAAATAGTATATTTCTTAAAAGAGTGAATAGAGTAGGTAAAAGTCTTTTCTTCTCTGATAATAAGCAACAATTATTAATAGCGTACAACACAGGGACAGGCTGCCTTGTGTGGGCTCTTTGTGTGGCAACTGAGCCAATCACTCATGAATCCCACTGTTCCACTGGCTTTAGTGATTCATTTTTGAAATTAATTTAAGACTATATAATGTCACTTGAAGTAATATCAAAGGGTGCTCATTTCAAATATTTAATAATAATTAATTCAGTTTGCTGACTCTGAAATAAGCTTTGTGGCTGGTGGCACAAACTAAACAAATCTGAATCCATGCAAGTATTTAGTGTTTTTATTACTACATGACAATAATCATACTTGAATCACCGTTGCATCCCTGCCATATTACCATACGTTAGGTGTAAAAAGCAGTTCCACCAGGCTCCTCCAACATGTTATTTTTCAGATCAGAAATACTGAAAGACATTCAAGAAGGTAACCCTGAAGCAAAAAGAGCTGTCCTTGTTTCCTCCTTATTCTGGGTATTGCAGCCCTTTCAATTACCACAACATAAAAGAGGTTCAAATTCCTGTACTTTCTTCTAATTTCAACATATTCAATACATCTTAAAAAATAGTTCCTTTCTAACCAGTATAAAGAATTTCAAGTTGACTCAATGTCATGATTTAGCTGCTGCTGCCAGAATGTCATTGATAATTCGTTCTCAATTGACTTACCCAGTTAAAGAAAGGTAAAATAAAAAAATAAAAAATTGTAGGCTTCATATTTTTGTTCAAACATTTGCCAATTATATTAAGTAATTATCTGTTAATGCACCTGTAATTCTTAGCCATAGTTAACATAAAGCTGATTTTGAATGATCTATAGAGCTTTTATGACCTATACAATGTATAGTTTCATGATTACCATAAGGACCAAATTGACGTACCAGGTGTTGTGTTATAACAGTCAAATACCATAGGAATCAGCATTATATCAGCATGACTGTGTAACTGTGAAACCTTAATGCCCCCTGTGTTATACTCTTTACCCTTTTCTTCCACTGAAAACAGAGTAAAGAATAATATGTTGTAATTTTTATTATTCGCCCAACTAATAGATCCCGGTGTGTATTTGTGTGTCTGCATGTTTGTTTGAACCAACCTGTGTCCTGATCGCAAATCTGCTCACAGGGCTCAGTGGCCCTCTGGCCGCAGTAGTCCCGGATCCACTGTGTGGACGAATTGGTCTGATAGTAGAGGGTTAGCTTGGCTGGGTTCAGCCAATTGGAAACATCCAGGAAGCTGCCCATGCTCACCACAAAACTACTTCCTGAAAAAAGAAAACAAAAGACAAAATTATTTTGCTTGTAAAAAAAAAACAAAAAAACAATATGAAGGTAGAAGGTAGATATAAAGGTATAAGGTTGATTGTTTGGTATTTTTAAAACCTCCTTTGGCTGGTTCTATTGCCAAATCAATTGGAAAGGAGATAATTCTTTTGTTTTCATTGTAATTTCAATTCCCCTCCTGACCAGGCTGAATTTAAATGAGAAAATTAAGACCTATAATGTGTGTATTGATGGGATTTCCTTGGTAATTGCAGTAGAGGGGCTAAAGGAGTTTCACGAGTCAGTCAGTAAATGCTATGCTCATTGAAGCTGACTTACCTTTCTTTCTTACTGCTCCCAGACCAATCGTTAAACTCTGATCATTGAACAAGATTATCCCTAATTGATGCCAATGACTTTTACTTCCAAAGGGAGCTGTGAGGAGATTGCGCTTTAGCCCTCTGGTGAACACAAAGATTCTAATACAGCTATATTGTGTGTATATCACTGTGTCATGAAAAGTAAATTTGTGGAAGCATTTGCACTAAATATACATTTCTGTGTCAAAGTGAATTTAACATATATATATACACACACATATATATATATAACAGGCTAGGAAATGAAGATAGCAATTGTGAGATTAAAAAGGATTCACACATTTATTCTGTTTTATGATATGCAACCCAGTGATGGTGGTCTTCAGGCTGGTTTTTAAAAAAAAGGATTAGTGCAGATGGAAAAGCTTTACCAGTAGCCAGCAATCAAATCTGAGTCACAGGAAAAGTTACAGGGCCAATGCCTTGCAGTAAAATACACAGCTCAGACGAAAAATACCCCACAAAGAATCCTTCGGACTTACACTGTACAAATGATAAAGCAAAGATACCCAAGCTTCATCTATTATTTTAGAAATAGAATACACCATTTGCTTACTCCTACACACATGAAGTCACCAGCTGCTTCTTTTCATTTGCACCAGGACAGCCTGACCCACACAAAGCCTTACAAAAATGCATGCGTGTTATTTTATGACTACCTAAACTAGCATGTTGCTCTTAAGTAAACATTGCATTGCTTGTAGCCATTATTCTGCTGTATGGACTGAAGTTGAAGTGCATCTACCTCAGATAGTGAAGTTATATGTGAATGGTCTATGGAAATGGCTCTGTGTGGTTTAATATGTGAGCAACATAATCTCTTGTTTCATTGTTCCTGAAATTAAAAACATAAAATACCTCCCCGGTTGAGGTGATTCAAGATATTGTGCTATAAATGACTGGATGTTTTCATGCTACTACATACAATAGTCATCAATTCATCCATCTATAGTTTAGATTTATAAAATAAGTAAATATCGACCAGTCTATTAGAGCAAGGGCTGTTTTTGCTGCTCTTAAACAGGAAATATGCAGTACCAAACAAAATGCCAGACATATTATAATACATACAGATCCAGAAGGGACACCTCCCTAAAAGCATCTCTCAGGTCAGGCTGACCAAAGGTGAGCATAACAGGGCCATTCCCTGTAGCACTGCAGTTTAGTGAACACAGCTGCCAGCAGCCCTCATTTGCTGAGAGAGAGAGAAATCTAATGGCTTCAGCTCACGCAGTAAGGAGGCAATTGTTAGATTATGGGTTGGTTTATAAGAGACCTGTGAAGAAACCCCTCCTGAGAAGTAAGATTGCTGCCAATTTTGCCATGCACTTTGTGAGTTGAGTGCAAAAGACTGGGAAAACATTATTTTGTTAGATTAATCCCATTTCAACTGTTTTGCGAACAGAGGTGGGATAGGAAGCATCTTACATCCGTGTCATCATGGTGACAGTGATAATCAAAGAAACTGTGCATACCTAGCAGTCCTTGAATGTACATTATTGTGGTGTATTTTTTGTTATCTTTACACTGTACGGTAATAGCAATTGATGTTAGACACATGGGTAAATTGCGAATATTATTCATTTTTATGTCCTAATAAATGATGCATTTGTCTATTTGCTAAAGTTTATTGCTACCTTTGGACTGTGATTTTAATTAAGTTATTTATAACCCCCCTCCAAGCATCTTTTCTGTCACGCTACAAAAAGCTCTCCATCCTAGGCTTAATATTAAAGACATATCTGTGAAAGAAATCCAATGATTCACTTCACACTTTGGAGTGCTAAAATGAGAATATCTTCAGAATTAATAATAAAATAAAATGACATGCGTATTAATCTCATTAACCTCCGAGAGATATATTTAGTTCCACCCATATTTGATTTAGCAAGGGGTCTGTCTTGATGTTGACTAAAATGTCCTGCTACTCTGTGCCATGTCTCCAGTTCTTCCATCTACCTACCTACATATTAGCTTTTGTGTTGTTTGTTTACCATCTCCTGTCATGTCTCACCTGTCTACTAGTCACCCTAGCTGAGTTTACTGTACACTGATACCTGGCCTCATCACTTGTATGCTGGCCTTTCCATCCCTCATTACTTACCAAGTATATAGAGAATAGCTTATAGAGGGCAGCTAACATGTCTTGTGTCACGTCATATATGTTGGTTTGTAGCCACACTGTAGCATTATAATCCTTTTTCCTGCCTTCCTGTTCCTGTCCTGACCTAACTTACATTTATACGTGGCTTGCCAGTTTGGATTTGCTTTGTTTGTTTATCTGTTGGATTTGTTTGTTTGTTTGCTTTGACTGCCTGCCTGCTGCCGGCTGTATGCCTGCCAGACCAATGGCTTAAGCCGCCTTTTATCACATCTGCTCTGCCTCAGGTGTCTGTTTTTCTGAGGCCAATTCCAGTATACACAAGTTTGCACTGTAGGAGGAACAAAGAACTAAAAGTCAAAAGCCCTGCTTATAGCTCCTTCAGGGTGCACTGTTCATTCACCCCACGATAAATAAATGTTGTATGAAACACATAAGATGCAGATTATTTTCTGGTCTTAGAGCTTTACCTGCAGCGGTGCTAGAATAAAAGGTTTTCCCTGAAGGTGGCACTGAAAGAAAGGCTGTCGAGTCATCAAAATTTAAATTATCTGGTTCTCTCATGATATCCCTGAAAAATGCGATTGCACTTAAACCATTAGTTTTTTATATCATACACAAAATTTTGAGAATTGAGCATCAGGTCAGAGGTCAGCTCAAGGAGCACCCAAACTTTTAACTATAGTGGAAATTCTGCCTCGTTAGTAGTAAAACAAAGATCAGGAGGTCGCCAAGATCGATAAATAATCATTCTGGGACTGCCCATATCCATATTACATTTCACAGTAGCTGATGAGCAGTATTTTTTACAATGGACTACAAGGACAGTGTAAAAAGATGTATTTTTACGCTGCAGGTGGTCGATACTGTCTGAAAACAGCAGGAAAAAATATAACAAGTTTAGCACTGTCAAAGTGGTATTAAAGGGCCTAAAAGAATTAGGAAATATTAATTGTACAACTGTCAATGGCCTGTCATCAGAGCTGCACTATACTGTGACAGAAATAAAGATGGAAAAGTTAGATGTTAATAAAATGCAAATTCCTTACCTAAGAGAAAATTCAATGTATATATCTAATGATGATGTGTACCAAGTGGTAGGCGGAACGGAGGTACCTAACAATAGTCCCAGTCCCAAAACTTCAAAAGACATTAAAAGCTTATGTCTTTTACAGTATTGGCTTTCATGATTTTCAGGTGTTCATCTTAAGTGTAGCTAAACAATACACGGTAGAAGTGGAAGTTTTATGTACTGTTCCATTTCTATTGTGTGTCCATGTGCACACAAATTGTGGGTGTGTGGGTGGACTAGAAATGAGGCCCCAGCGGCAAGAGCACCTGATCAACTGATATGTGAATGCAGAGCTTTCAGAGATATGGCAATCATTAGTTAAATTGCTTCAGCTCCTCACTCCCTCTTACTTCACTTAACTCCTTGAACATTTTCCATATTGGCCTCTCTTACCTCCCAGTGAGGTTTATTCTGAGGTATCTTGCCAATACACAGAACCAATTTACAATTATCCCATAGCCAACAAGGAATTTAAAACAGACTCAGTGGGACAACTCTTGAAGCAGTTGCCTGGGCAGCCATGCTGATCTTGAATTTACTTTTATTTTGCAAATATTTTGTTTACATGCTAATGTGTGGACAGTAAATACA